TATATATATATATATATATATAAGGCGGTGGTCATCGTAGATTTTGATGTGGCAAATTTTTGAAAGGAACCTTCCTTATATCTAGATGTAGCCATACGCCAAAATGGACGTTTGGTACTTCACTTATTTTTCATGTTATCACGCTCACAGATGGACGGACGGATGAAAAGTACTTTCAGTTCTCTCGTTTATGGGGGGGGGGGCAAACGTATAGCTTAAAGCCAAAAGTAGCAAAGAATAGCTAAAAGAAAGGAACGAAAACTAACTGCCCCCAAGAGGGGCGGGGTGCTGGAGGCACAAGCGCCCAGCTCTGTCAAAGGAAAAGGTTAGTCAGTGACAGGAAGTTATCAAGAGATGGCAGGAAGTCTGTTAAAATAAAATTTTAAAAATATAACATTTGAAAATTATGAAAAAAAAATGCATAAATTAAAGAAAGGAACAGTGTGGGAGTAAAATTTGTTGTGTTTTCGTTCAAAAGAAACAAGAATGTGCACTTTTGGATCACTATGGAGTAATTCTTGGGTTTTGGGCTTCTAGGAAGGTTAAACCAAGCAGCAGATAAAGCTCTTATATCAGTTTTTACTAGTCAAGGGACCTTTGATGGTGTTGTGTTGCAGAAAGTGTGTGAACAGCAATTCACTTACTAAATAAGGTCCTAACAAAGTCGAATTTGTATAAAAACAGCAAAGATGTTTCCCTAACTCAAAAGTTTTTATTAAAAATTATGGAAAATCTTATGAATACCCACTTGTCGAACTCTCTTCTTGGAGCTACCCACTCTAAAGATCCCTACGGTCTGCAAGCCTGAGTGAAAAAAGCAAAAACAACCACAGTTTCTTCAGTGCTCATACATGAAATGCATGCTTGGAGTTTTTAAAAGTTAAAAAAAGCCACATCTGACCGTATTTCTCGATGTGCTGACAGCAGCTGTCGACCACCCGCGGCACCTGGCGATAGATTGGATTGAGGCTCAGCCTTTTGTCCCGGTGCTTTTCCTTTTTGCTTGGCGCCTCCGTCGGCAGGGAGAGCTGCAGCGCCTCGAGGAGACGCGACTGGTTGTCGTCCAGGTCTGTGATGGAGTCCACAGACATGGCTCCCTGGTGGGGAATCATGCAGGTGGTTTAATGAAAAGAAGAAACCTCTGGGTGTCTGTGAGGGATTCGGGGATGGTGAGCAGTTTAAGGTGCTTCCTCACCCTCCTGCGGGCTTGCGGTGCAGATTCAGGCGTGTTGGGTGACGTGGACTCGTTGGCCGTCTCCGACGTGGAACTCAGCGAGGAGTTACTGCTGGATAACTCCTTGTTCGATGGCCGCTTGGTGGCAAACTGCAGACACGATCCAAGATTTAATCACCATATACAAGAAAATTGTGCCCAAATAGTTTTTTGAAGCATTGACAGACTTGTAAAATCGACGAGACGAGGTCGGAGGAGTCTTTGTGCTCTTCCCGGGGCGGCGGGTCCAGACGGTAACCATCCTGACGCTGCCTGTGCGTCCGGTCGTTAGCAATGACCTGGGAGAGGGCTATGCTAAAGGCCTGGGGTATGCATTCTGTGAGGACAAGAAAAGAGCAGGAAAGAAGCAAGAAAAATTACTAGCGGAAAAAGAAACGTGTTTGTTCAGTCCCAGACGATAAAAACACAAAAGCAAATGTACAAAGTAACCAAAATAGCAGTTCAGACATTAAACTTATCTTTATTACATCTGGTGCAGCTTGGCTTTTACGCAAATGTAATAAAAAGTATCCCGGGGCATGTTTACCATGTCTGTAAAAACTCCTTACGGCACGATTAAAGCGCTACATCTGTTTTCCAGAGTAATACATCACAGAGAGAGAACACCAACAGGATTTTGGCCGGGCTAGCCATCTTTTTATCAAATTAACAGAACTATGCTGGCTCCGGTCCACCACCAGGGCTATGTTCTCCTCACAGGTCATTCTGAGAAGCTGCTCAGCACAAAGTGAACGATTTAACAGAAAAGAGATGTACTTTTAGTTTGAACAAGGGTACAGCATACGTACATTATCGTTGACAAACTATTATACAACAACGTCCCAGACAAGCGATGACTTTATATAACCTTTGACATTAATTTGTGAACTTGAATCTGGGGTGATTAAAAGTGAAATGGAGACTATACCATTATACGTCCACCTTTCAACGGGTGTAAATATTACATATTTTGTTGAAGACATAACTTTTAACCTGATTGAAATTTGAGTTGTACTCCTGGTTTATGTGCATGTGCAGTATCTGAAAACGATGTCCTGCTGGCCTTTTTATCATCAGTGACACATAATCTTAAAGCCTGAGCTGAGAGCTGAGGAAAAGCTATCCAGCTGTGTGTTGTGTGGATAAAAAAAGAAAAGGAAAGAAAATGACAAGGGACGGGAGAGCATAATGCATTCCACAACCACAAGTGAAGGGTTGAGGTTTACGAACAACATGACCGCTAACACTGTGACACAATGAATTTACTCTGCAGCCGCTCAGCGTTAACAGGGTTTACATAAACACACTTACACACACGTGCACGCCCACACACACACACACACACATACACACAAGTTTGTATTTCTATCTTTAAAGGGACTTTGCATTGACTTCCATTAATTTTTCATTAATTTATTTAGCCTAACCCTGACCCTTACCCTAAACTGACCATTACCAGAACATACGTAGCCCTAAACCTAACCATCACCAGTACATATCTAACCCTAAACCTAACTATTTTCAGTACATATCTATCCCTAAACCTAACCATTACCAGTACATATCTAACCCTAAACCCAACCATTACCAGTACATATCTAACCCTAAACCTAACCATCACCAGTACATATCTATCCCTAAACGTAACCATTACCAGTACATATCTAACCCTAAACCTAACCATCACCAGTACATATCT